CAATTGTTTTTAAATGAAAAGGCTACTAAAAGGCCATACAGGATAAAGACAGAGAACTGACCACTGACTTTTATAAAATATAGGCTGTCAGTGACCTTAATAAGTACCATTTCAGTGGAGTCTGGGGCTGAGAAATGAGTCAAGAGAGTTGAGAAGAGAAAGGAACTATAGACAACTGTTTCAAGGAGTTTAGCTGTACTGATAACAAAAATGAGCTAACAGCCTGAGGAAACGGTGAGGTTCAAGAGATTTTTTTTCCCCCAGGCATTTTATTATAAAATTTTCAAACATACAGAAAAGTTGAAAGAATTTTATAGTAAACACTCATATATTTACCACTAAATTCTACAATTAACATTATATTATACTCCTTTTTCACAAGTCGTAATATTTTTTAAAATTACTGTTAATAAGGCATGTATTTATGCCAATGAAAATTATCCAACAAGGGAGAAAGTGGTTAATTCAAAAGAGAAAGATGATAGTTAACAAAAGCAAAGACTCAAGGAGGGGACAGGATCCAAAGTACAAATGGAGAGGATGGCCTTAGTCTCAGGCACACTTCCCTACCAAAAATCCTTCAAAGTCTCTTTTTTCTTCCCAGAAAGTTAAATACAAACTCACCAGCCTTACAACCCACTGCTTCCCTAGATATACACTACATTTTGGCTAATTTAGACTGCTAGTTGTCCCATAAATAGACTTTCAGAAATCCCTGGAAAAAAATTCTACTCTTTAAGCCCAGAGTAGCCATCTACTCTGGTAGCTAGTTGCCATCTCCTTTAGAAAACCTTTCCTGATCTATACCTCTTCCAGTCATACCTCCCCAAATCACATGTTTTATTTTCATTGTTTTAAGTTTCATAAAGTGTTATTTGGCCTTCTATTTCAATTAGTGTGCTATTTTCTTACGCTCCTTGTACCTCTGGAACAAAAGCTATCTTATTCTGTGTATCTTCTTCTGTTCCTAGCACTATATATGGAACAACTATTTGCTGAATTTAACAATAGAAAACATGACAGCTAAGATTGAAACTGAAATTTTTCCTCTACCAAAAAAAACAAAATTAGATCTACTAAAGACAAACAAATGAGAACATGTAAAGTTTTGGCAAGTGGTGACAATAGGAAATTATTATAAAAAAGAATGACTAGGCCAGGAATTATGGCTCGCACCTGTAATTCCAGCACTTTGGGAAGCTGAGGCAAGAATATTGCTTGAGGCCAGGAGTTTGAGACCAACCTGGGCAATGCAGCAAGACCCCATCTCTAAAAAAA